GGTACGGTACCAAAAATCAAGCGTAGTGTAAACGGGGCTCAAAATATAGGTAGTCCAAGAACCAAAAAAGTGGTACGGGTACCAATTGTATCCGTGCAGTACCAAAAATTGGTGTAAACGGGGCTTAATATATCATACATATTTTATTCCCTCCAAATATTAATAACAGTATATAATTAGATGTATGACGCGGATCACCTTTTCATTTATAGGCTTATAAAGATCACTTGGCCACTCTTCCAGATGAGGATCCAAGCAAACTTGACGAGACCATTGCCTTGCTAAAGCATACAAGCCTAATGATAGAATTATTTTCTGATAAGCATGCCATTTATGCTGTTGATGATAGCCGATTACAATCACTGCAGGCCGCACTTCTGTTCTTTTCGACGTGGAAAGAAGAAACAACTAAAGGAGATGAATTCGTATCCCAGAAGTTATGGTTTGACATCCAGTCAATGATTCACGGATTCATTTCCTTGGTTCAGACAAAGTTGAGACGGTTCCCCGGATCAATTGTCAAACCAGCGATCATAAATCAGGACTGTGTAGAGAATCATTTTTCTCAGCTGAGAGGGGCAAATGGGCAGAATGACAACCCAACATACCAAACGACACAAGGAACGCAGAACTCCATAATATTTGGACAGACAACTGTCAGCAGAAAGGGTAATACGGGCACCGCAAAAAGTCATTCTTTTGCTGGGCTCCCTAAGGAAAACCTGTTTGGCAAAAAGACACGTCTGCAGATATCTAAACCTGCAATGGGGTTGCTCATAGAGCAGTGATTTCAAACCATAATGTTTGCAAACTTTTAAATAAATTACTTCATTTTCAAATATATTGCACAATTTCCCAATTATTATAAAATACAAACGGCTATGAACGTGCGCAGGAGATGATGTGTTATCAGGGCCGTCGCTAAGTGGTATATAGGCAGTGGCAGTGACTACCACATTTGCCAACAAAATTTCAGTAACTAAAATTTTTTTTCCCAGAAAAGTTGATGACTCTCCCCTCACCCGTTGAGAAATTTTTTCTCACACATTCTAATACAAAATTACAAATTCAATTTTTTTGGGCAAGATTTTTACAGACCATTTTTGTGTAATTTTGCAATACATTTCTCTGAGAATTTACCTAAAATTGCCTAATAATCCTCCGAAAATTTACCTTGTTTATTTCAAATTCGTCATTTGCCGACAAAACATTTTCAGGGGGATATCACTCCCCCTAGCGACGCCCCTGTGTGCCACTAATGTTGTTAAAGCGGAATTCCGGTTACACGTTCGTTCTTATACGCACGTGTATATACGTACGTAAAAATTTTAATTACCGATTTAAATGTTACATTGTTAGTCTTTGAACAACCACATCAATGAGTAAGTTTACAATATTTCATACTTTAAATGATTTGGCTAGCATCCGTTTATAAACGTATTTTTTAAACATGTAGAATACAGACCTATAAACCTATAAACTGGAATACAGCCTTAAGTTAAGTGCCATTGTAAGCTCTATACTACTAAAGCCAGAATATATTGAACTCGAAACCGTCTTGAACAGTCAACGGCGAATGCGCCTTTATATGCGGTAAACAGTAAAAGTCACATTTGTCCTTACAGTCTGCGAATTCTTAATACAGGAATCGCGTTAGAACGGTCATTAACAACATCAACGGTATAGGTCGATGTGATTTCATGACACGGAACAACATCAAATCGAGGGATTGCTTGGGCAAGTTCCGATGCCAATTTCATTTTATTCCATCTGGAAACGGAGCGGATGTTGTATGCAGCACATAGATGCTGCAACTCCTTTTTGCTGTATAGACGTGTAATGCCTTCACTTCCTAATTTGTGTACAAGGTCCAGTAAACGCATGTGGGAGACTTTCTTGCCCTTACTTCGATCCTGTTCAATTTCTGGAATTTGAACTTTCAGTCGCTTTTCCTCCGCTTTTTTCTTTTTCTGCAAAACTGCCTCTCGATGTGCCAGAGATTTCTTTATGTGAAAATCTCTCCGAAAATCGCGTAAGAACTGCCCTGCACCCATCTTGAAATATCTTTCGATAATCTCTTTATAAATTTCAATAATGACGTTCTATTCACAAAGAGAAAAAAATATTATTTTACACTGTATATACACAGCTAATTCAAAAAAGATTGTCCTCTGCAAACCTTAACCTAACCTTAAACTAACCTTAAACTCTAAGCGCGCATGCAAAGCATAATAAGAGCACAAGTTTCAACCTTAGTAGCAGGGGCGTAGGAACCGAGGGGGGGCAGCCCCCCCCCCCCAAGTTTTGGCAAGGGCCCTTTTTCCAGGAGCAAAGTAGCCTTTTTCAGCGTGAAAAAATTTCATTAAAATTGGATTTTTGGCCCAAAGTGCACTTTTGAAAACTTCAAACTATGTTTGATTTCCGGGAAAATGTTTTAATTTCCGGGAAAAATATCATCTTTACGGAAAATTTTTCGGTGTGTGCGGAAAATTTTTTTCGTATTTAGCAAGAAATGTATCCGGCAAATATTCTAGCCGTTGTGTTCTCGCCACCGAGAACACAACGGCTGGAATCTGCGCCTAGGGGGGAGGTCGCCAAAAATAATTTCTAGATGCCCTTTTTTCGGAAAGTGCCCCTCAAAGCCTGCCCCCCCCCCACCAACTTTTCGAAGGTTCCTACGCCCCTGCTTAGTAGTTGAATATTGCAACGACTTTTGAATGAAGTGTTTTCATTGCCAGATATTAACCATGTCTCTGAACTGATTAAATCGTACGCCCAATATGCTTTGCGCATGCACTTAGAGTCGAATGTTTAAGGTTCAGAGTTTAAGGTTTACAAAGGACAACCTTTATCGAATTAGCTATATACTGTGTGGAGGTACGACGCCCGAAGCGCGGAGTGTTTTCACACAGTTTCGAGTTTTTCCAATTTCCACGAGTGTTGATATAACTATATATCAACACGGAAAATGTTTTATTTTTTTTAATAATATAGCACAAAAAATAAAGGAAAACACTAATTTTAAAAACTTTTACGAGCGGCGGGAAATTTTCCGTGTTGACATTGAGTTATATCAACACGGCTCTTAGCCAATCGGCGTTCAGAATTCGCAAATGCTATATTATAAATATATACAGTATCCCCCACTGGTGTAAATACCTTGTTTGCATCTGCATCTAGCTCGAACAATTTCAAAAACGCGGTTTCCAGTGTCGAATTGCTTACAGCTTCAACGATGGAGTCATCAATCATATCGTTTTGTAGAGATGACAACCTTTGAATGTTGATTTTATCAACTCGTTCTTGTTCCAATGCCAGAAAGAAATCGAATGCATCATCGTTGATGTGGATCAGACCGCGTTTTCTGTATTGTCGAGACTCGACTACGCGAAGGCTTTCAGGATTTGCAGTTGAAAGTTGGGCGGCTTCGTGTGGTAGTGTAACGTAGTTTTCTAACAGGTTGATTTTCTTCATCTCTTTGTGAATTTTGAGGCGAACATTCGTTGACTGGGACAATTTATTTTCTATTACGTAGCTTCGCGCTCTTTTTAGACATTTACTGATGTCCCATCCTCCAATATACCGTACTTTTCCACGCCCGTCTGGTCCCATTTCTTGAACGTTGAAACGTATTGGTGTACATTCTTCTTCTTTTCGGACACGCTTTCCAACCTCGGATCCAAACAGTTGAAACAGTTGGAAGAGAAGCAGAGCACCTACGCTTCTTTGCCCGTCATCAATTTCAATCCATTTCTTAACATTATACGCACTAATCAGGTCGCTTCGATATTCCTGGGACAAGAAAAGAAGTTGTAGTTTGGATGTGGTACAGGTGAAATCTTTATTTGTCATTTGTAGTACTTCCAGATTCTCCGTCAGGTAATTTTCAAATAGTTCGTAAATTCTGCACCAAAATATTACAGCTAATAATTCAAAATCATCTAAATAATCGGCCCCATATTTTGCTGCAGATTTAACGGATTGACTGTAGGGATCTTCATTGGCATCGTTGATCAATTTGTCCAAGAAGGCTTTCACGCTGAAGGACGAAGGAGGTTTTGACAGTTCATCTCTGAAGTCGGACATACATAGTAAGACATCTTCCAGGTTGACAACCACACCACTGTTAGATTCGAAATAGGAAGAAGCAGCGGAAGGAAAATCGTTATCATGAACCAGGTTGTTCATCTCTATCAATTCTGTCTCGCACTCTTTATCACATTCAAATAAATTCTCGGCCAGGTGCATGCCATTGCAGCAACCAAACTGTTCGTCGAGGGTTCCCATGTTATTCGACTCAAAATCAGATAACTCTAGGGGAGGTGGTAAAAGGAAACTCCTTCGGAAGTCAAGTACTTGAAGTGATGCTTCTCTGGTGACTCTTGACAACGCAACATAAGTTTGACCCGGGACAAACTCTTGCGAACAATGCACAACTACATTTCCCAATGTCGTATTTTGCGCTTTGTGTACTGTGATGGCGTAGCAAGGCGCGAGTGGAAATTGAGTACGACTGCCTTGTGTCCTACCATTGATATCGAAATTGTACCACGTTCTACGAGCAACGGCGACATTACCTACGTTAGGGAACTTGACAATAAGGCGTTCTTCATTTTCTTCATCGATGCCAACATACTCGCCCCGGTATCCATTTTTCAAATGGTCGTTGATGTTGTAGAGAAGTATCACTTTGCATCCAGGTTTCACGGCTAGAATTTGACTAATGGTTTTCTCCAAATATCGGGCGTTACCAGTGTCCTTGCTTTCGAAGATTGTAAGTTCTCCAGGAAGTTTCGCCAAGGCATCTAGGTTGTGGATCTCAACTGGTAGTTTCTTGAAATATATATCGATCTTCTCTGGAAGCATATCGGTCAAATCCAAATCTCTTGATAGGCTTTGAAGATATTGCTCTACTTCGTCATCGCATTGACCTTCCCGTAGAAGATCTAAAGCATGTTTTAACTTATCTTCATCATCCCCTTGCCGCAATACTCTCTGCAACTCGAATCGATGTGGGAATACTTTGTCCAAAAGCTGCGAGGAAATGATAGATTTTCCAGGATCGAGAAGACTTGGAACAGGTCTCAGTTGCCAGAAATCTCCGACAAGGATAACCTGCACTCCTCCGAATGGCAGGTCATTGTTAGAAACCAGATGATGAATGGCATTAACGATATGAAAAATGCGGTGGCTCGTCATGGATACCTCGTCCCATATTAGTACGTTCGTGTCTGCAATCTGCAACAAGACGTTTTTTCTTCCTAAAGAACGGCTAATTAGCGAATTGGCAGGAAGTTCGGCTGTCTGTAATCCATAATGTGAATGTACAGTCTTTGCTAAACCATGATATGCGTCGCATGAAATCCCAGTCGAACACACAATTTGACATTTCAAGCCTTTCGCCGTCAGAGATTTAATGATGCTTTCCACAACCGTTGTTTTCCCAACGCCGGCTTTTCCGAAAATGCACACGTTATGCCCAGTTGAGACGAACTTAACAACATTACCTTGTTCCTTTGTCAGCTTGGTGTTCATATTATCTTTCCACTAGGCACTACATAAATTAAATGATCGCTAACATTATTTTTACAAATCTTGGTCAATTTAGCGTTTTACAGCAAATTCATTTGATTTTGATATTCATGCTAAAGCCCGTAAAGACTGCTTTCCACTGTTGTGTTTTTCATACACACGTGTACGCACGGAAAACTTTGAATCTTTGTAATTTCGACATAATTATAACGCAACACTGGAAAACAGCCTTAAGTGTAAATGCGAATTTGTAGTTTACTTTCCCCGGTGATTAAAGCTTATGCACAACAAGATAAAGTTTACAAATTGTAATAATTATCTTTAGTTAAAACTGAATTGAGGAAGATTTTTGTTCAATTGTCAAAAATTGAATAATTAAATTCGATGCGAGCATGCGCGTTCGTAATTGGCCCATGATCATCAAACTTGTCAAACAGGTTGTTTGATACATTCTTCAAGCGTGGTGCTTGCAACGAGAAGTCGCGAATGTTCGAAAAGGCAGAAAAGCTGTGTTTTTTATTGTTTTTGAAGGCAAAAAAAGCTTTGTAATTCATTCAAAATAATGTATGGACAGTTAATTTGCTTCTACTGGTTTTAAATCGGCCGATTGTCGTCTGGGATGAACTGTTTTTGATGGTTTGTTCTAGCAGCAACTATGGACACGACTGACATTCGAAAAGGAAAGAAAAGCTTATGGTCATCGTTGTTTTTTATAAAAATTTGAACCACGTCGCCGAGTGTACACGTCGTATATCTTTATAAGGTCGCTAATGTGTTTACTTGGATATTTGTACTTCAATATTATTCATAATGGAATGAAGATGCTGTTTTGAACGACAATT